TAATAGGCCAAACTAAATCTTTAAGATAAAAGTAGTGCAATAAAAGTGTAATACTTGCATCTGAGACAGCGGAGTAGATTAATAGAATGGAAATACTACTACTGTAGGTAAAGTACAAGCACCTGTAAACCTTTGTTAGTTTTTGTGTTTCTGTGAGGGAAGCGCCATTTCATGGTGACACCTTGTAATTGAATAAATGGGCATGTTACAGTGGAATCTAGGCACAAGTAATTGAACAGCTAGAACTGGTAAGTTCAGACAATGACATCACTTTACTGTAATGCAGCCTTTAAAACCAGGAAAGACAACACTTACATTATCAAAAATCTGAGACTATATATAGCCTCATATCACAATATCAACATAATATCGATATATTGTCCAACCCTAATGAACCTAGCTGTCATTGTCCATTGCCAAATGCTGTCAGTCAGCGACCACTGAGTCCCATCCACAGACTCTTGGGCGTGGATTTGGAGTGGTGCTAATGGCATTTTTTGCTAGCTGAAAAATTAACAATTTTGTTTTAGCTACCAGATGAACTTTAGGTTGCCAAGAGAGCAAACCTTTTTGGTGCCGCTATCACGAGGATTTGCCACCATTCCTGATCACCGATCTCATATCCAGTGGGCTGACTACCCAGAACACACACAGTACATGGTGGGTGGAAACCTGAACTTTCATCCATAACATCCATATCTACTGTAACAGTTTAGAGTGTCAGGAGTATTCCCCCCACGTCCAGGCCCATCTGCTGTGCCAAGCTCCTTTTGCCTAGTGGGTCCCACACTCTTGCCAACTTCATCGATTAGGAGCTTGTCAATTGGCTGGGCATTGCACGGATCCTCATTCCCCAACCAGTGCCCACCAACGCTCTGGACAGTCACCTCCTGGGTACCGTAACCCACACAGTGACGCTGGTCTAAATGCCCTTGTCTGGGAACCACCACAAGACTATCCAATTTCACATCCTACAGCCCCGACAAGTGCCTCTCATCCCCAATTCTTCTGGCTCCCCCGTCACAACCCCCACATAGAGTGGTGCACAGGGGCCATATTGGGGTGGAAGAAATCCACCCAAGCAGCACCCCTGCCTCAGTCTATTACAGCCTCTGTCGGCACCCCAGACCTGGCTGGGGTACCCCCTGAGTACCACAACCTCAGAGGTCTTCAGCAAGGCCAAGGCCACTTCCCTGCCTCCTCATCACCCCTACAGCTGTGCCATAGATCTGCAGCCCGCCACCATATCTTCCAAAGGGCACCTGTACTTCAGAGAGAAAGGTGATGGAGGACTACATTAATGACTCTCTGGCCACAGGCATCACCTGTCCTTCTTCATCCCCAGCAGGAGCAGGGTTCTTTTTTGTGGAAGAGAAGAACAAGACGTTGAGGCCCTGCATTGACTACTGAGGGCTCAAGGACATCACCATAAAGAACATACCCCTGTCACCCATCTCCGCCTCCTGCTAGCTGCTTCAAGGGACCACCATTTTCACCAAGGTCCACCTGCGCAACGTCTACCACGTGGTCCACATCCGTAAGGGAGATGAACGGAGGATGGCTTTTAACACCCTGACTGGTCACTACCAGTACCTGGTGATGCCCTTCGGCCTGACCAGCGCTCCCTCCATCTTTCAGGCTCTAGTTAACAACGTGCTCTGAGACATGCTCAACCTCTTTGCGTTCTTCTACCTGGACAACATCTTCTCCAAGTCCTAAGAGGAGCATGTCCACCCCGTCCAGACCGTCCTCCAGCATCTCCTTGAGAACTCTGTGTTCATCAAGGCCGAGAAGTACAAGTTCCACACCCCCTCTGTCTCCTTCCTGGGTTACATCGTGATGCAAGGCGGTGGTGGAGGTAGACATCTCTGACATTGGAGTGGGGGCTGTGCTTTCTCAGTGCTCGGCCATCAACTCCAAGCTTCACCCCTGCGCTTTCTTCTCTCATGTGCCTGTCCCCTGCTGAACAGAACTACGACATCGGGAACTGGGAGTTGCTGGCAGTGAAGATGAAGTTGGAGGAGTAGCGGCACTGGCTGGAGGGAACCCCGTTTTTAATATGGACTAACCACAAGAACCTTTAATATATTCGTTCTGCTAAAAGATTCAAGTCCCACCAAGCCCACTGTTCCCTGTTTTTCACCTGCTTCAACTTCACCCTGTCCTATCCCCTGGGTCCTGCAATGTGAAGCCCAGAACCCTGTCCTGACAGTTCCTGGGAGGGGGGGACCAGTTCCAAGACTCTGACACCATTCTCCCTGCTCCGTGTCTGGTTGCTACCATCACCTGGGAAATAGAGGAGAAGGTCAGAGCTGCCCTGGAAGATAAACGGTCTGCAGTGGACCCACTCCTCCTCTTAAAGCTTCCATGGTATATGCGGATTCATTCCACGTTCCACGCCTCCAGGGTCAAGCCAGCCTAGGAGAGTCCTCTGGTGCCTGCTGCTGCTCCGGCACCTCCTTGCCTCATTCATGGGGTTCCTTCCTACACTGTCCGCTGTTTGCTCAGGTCCTGTTGCCATAGGAGGGGCCTCCATTACCTGGTGAACTGGGAGGGGTACAGTCTGGAGGAAAGGTCCTGGGTCCCAGCTTGCCATATCCTGGACCCCCAGCTCATCGAAGATTTCCACCAGCAGCACCCCGATCAACCATCCGGGTCCACCTCAGGGTCGGGGTCTCCAGTCAGAAGCCTCCACTCATTTCTCCTCTTGGGACCTACAATGAGGAGTCTTCATCCTACTTACCTCCTGGCTCTTTTGTCTGTCCTGTCTTCTGACCTGTTCTTGACCTCTCCACCTGGTCCTGACTTCCCTGCTGCTCATCCCTGGTTAGCTCTGCTGCCTGGCTGGACTGCTCCTCTGGTTCCAGACCCCTCGCTTTCTCGACCACACCACCAGTAAAACTGTCTCTGTCACCTCTGTCTGCTAGTGGACCAAACTGTTCAGGTCCGATGACTCACATTCTCCTTCGGCCCAGTCCGATCCCTGGCCCCTGAATCCAGAGACTGTGTGTGGGCTCTAAGATCGAAGAACGAACTGTTCCCTGAATATCTTCATCAGAAAAGTAGAAAAAAGTAACTTTTTAGTCCTACTGATACAAATATGGAAAATGAGCTAAAGAGAACATTTGAAAAGCTACATGATGATGTCGAGTCTGTCGCCCACCGCAGACATTGTCTGTCCACAACAAAAGCTTCCTCGGGATAACAATGGATATCATGTCACTGGATATAACGTTACTAGGACTAAAAATCTACGGAAGCGCTACCGCTTTATGTAACATTACATCACTGTGGTGAGGCCAGCAGGTCGACAGTGACTTCAGAGATGGTGAGAGACGTGTTTCTCTATCGGACTTGACTATCTTTTATTGTTTAGGGCTAAAATGTTTTAGTGAAAGGGAACTTCAGTTTGCGATGGAATACTGCATGCTGCACGCCATTTTAAAACCTGGCCAAAAATAACGGAGTAACACACCGTTGGTAATGGTAACTGAGTTACTGAATTTAAAAACTAACGTGTTAGAGTATTATTTACTGCCAGAACTAAGGGCGTTACTGTAAGGCAGTGTTGGGCAGTAACGCGTTATTAGTAACGCGTTACTGCCCAACACTGCCTTTAACACACCAAATAATCATTATGCCTCCTCCTCACCAGTTTCATTATCTGCTATCTCATCCACCATGAGTCCAGTGAGATGGACAGAAAATATTGCCAGTGACGATGTGCTCATTATTAAGCTGTGATGAAAGGCCAAATTACAGACAGATGACTAAAGAGCTGAGACACTGACACTACTGGTGTGTATTAAACACCAGAACAAGTCTGTAACTGTGCAGCACTGACCTCAGAGAGTGCAGTCAAGGGCATTCATTTGATTCAAGTCACTGGAAAGTTAGATGAAAATAAGAAAGGGGAAAGTAAATGGTGCTGAAGGATTCTGTGAGTCCTCTGTGTTTATGGCTTTCTGTTTGTTTGTTTGTGTGTGTGTGTGTGTGTGTGTGTGTGTGTGTGTGTGTGTGTGTGTGTGTGTGTGTTCTGAGGAGATTACAGTTTGAGGCTGCTAGCAGACAGCCCATGACTGAGGAAGGACATGTGAAGTTTTTGTACACAATAACAATCATTCTGCCACATGCACATCATGCCAATGGGTGTAGGTAGGTCTGACAGAAAGAAGTATTAAAGTATTAAATTTGTGTCTTGAGATATTGTGTTCACGAGAATGAGATGGACATCAGGTCACAGTGACTTTGACCTTTGACCACCAATATCTAATCAGTTCATTGTTGAGTCCAAGTGGACATTTTTACCAAATCTGAAGAAATACCCTTAAGATGCTCCTTAAATATCCTGTTTACGAGAATGGAACAGACAGATAGACAGGAAAACACAATGCTTTTGGCAACAACTATTGCCAGCATAGAGGCATAAAAAAATTTGAATCTTGATAAACAATGTTTTAAAAAAATGACACACATTGCGATAGAGGATTTTACATCAGAGTGCTACTTGTATACATCTATTTGATTTTAACAAACATATCTCAATTGACAGACCAAAAACAGAACAAACAGGTAGAAATGTCTCATTGTTCTGCCGTGTAGTATTTGAGACATAAAGTCACACCACTTACTCCCTCACTAACTCATTCCTCCCAAAAACCCTTTTTCAAACCTCTGCAGTATGCAAAAAGAGGCTGCAACTGTGAGTGTAATTACTGCTTCAACATCAGATCATTCTCCCAAAGCGAACTGTTGCTTTAATGTGAGGAATGCAGCATAACCAAAGAGACTGGCTCCAGTGGGACACACCAGACAGTTTTCTCCACAGATTAGATTTCAGAGAGAACAGTGTGCACTAGGGCTTGTGCCAATGATGTTGATAGAGCTGACAATAGAGAAGATGTGAACACAGAAAAGGTCAAACCTGTTTTTCTGCTACACTTCTGGATAAACCTCAGATGGGGCAAAACAGAAGGTAAATGTCCATACATCCAGCCTACCTGTGGGTTGTCCTCCATCACACAGCGAATCTTCTCCACCACGTCAGTGCGGCGCTGGCGGTGCAGGCCATTGATCAGCTTGGCCAGGTTGGCATCGCTGTCCCGAATGGTCCAGTGCTGCAGCGCGGCATATGCCCGCTCATGATCTGACGAGTAACCGTTGGAGAAGGCAGCCACCTCCCTCTCTGTGGCGTTGGCCAGCGACTGATAGATGTCTATCCAGTGGATACCCACCTGGGCTGCCACCAGCTTTAGGATATCCACCCCTGAGCAAAGAAAGAAAAGAGAAGTTAGAGAACTCATGCTTCAAGCTAAAAGATGGGGGTTGGTGATGATTTGCTTGATCACTACTAAATATAAAAAAGAAAAAAAAATGAGACTCAGATGGTTGCTGGATTTGCTCTTAATTAAAGAATATAGGCTAGTGGCTGTAAGCTGTGCTAACTAAAAGGATGCAGCAGCAAGTGATGGCCTCATTTCCAACTAATGGTGTCCTCATGCTATGCACCCCACAATGTTATTTTTCTTTTTCTGTCAAATACGCTGAACTTCTATATGGTGTGTATGAGAGTGTCTGGAATTATACTGTTTCAGCTTTTGCAACTAGTAGGTCATCTAATGATATCTGTTGGTTGGTCTGTGTATTAGGAAACCAGCTGAGACGTCAATCAATTAGTCAGTTGTCAAGCTAAAGCTGTCATTAGAAGTCGTCATGCAATCTATTGTCTTTTTTTCACTGTTTGAAAAGTATACTTTTAAACAACTTCAACTGTCAGTTGCAGGCCAAAATTGGAAGAAGTGTCCCTCATCTTCCAATCACAAGGCACCAGCCTGTTTTCAAGCGAAGCTAGCCACTTTAACATGTTGGTTTTAAAAGGGGAATGTTTTACAACTCTGTACCTGTGAGAACAGTTGTAAATGTTTTCTGTGGCTCTGATGGAGCTTGATTAAGACTGAGAAAACATTGGGACATCACTTTTTTCGACATGTAGGCTGGAGGAGCTGGGGATCGAATCACCAATCTTCCAGTTGATGGAAAATATATTGAATATATACCTGCTTAACATCAGTATGTTAGCATGTGGACTGGTTGTCCACCTTCACAGTGGCACATGGAAGGAGTGTTGGAAAACCCCTTCACAAATTAATGTGTTTACAATACAATCCAAATGGCAGAAAAAATGTCTTCATTGTAGGTTTTTACAAACCATAGATATGCTGGGATTCACTGGAACACAGAGGATTTGTCATTTGTACAGATCTGATTCTCAGAAACTTATATTACACCAAACACTTCAGGTTGGATCTTGTTCTGATCGATCACAGTGGAAAGTAGAGTGTGTGAGAAAATTTATTTTCTCCTGCAACAATCCACCCTAAAACTGAATTTACACCTAGGAGTGCTTACTGTTCCAAGCATTTACAGTATGATTTATTACAATTGTTCATTAGCATTGTTCCTTTTTTGTTACACTTTATCATTTGGTTGATTCAAGTTCACACTACTGTCTTTCGAGGAAAAACAGGGCTTGTAAACACAGGTCACGTGAACTCACAAGGGTTTCGTTATGGAACCAGTACAATGCTTTCAGTACAGGAGCGGTCAAAACAAAGACTGGACCTGTCGACACTTGTAATTTTTCTGGTGCTCATATCAGCTCAGTATTACTGCAGAAATACTGAAACATGGGCATCAGGACTCGTCAGTCATGATAGTTTATGAAAAATTGCAGAGGGAAACACATATCTTTCTCAGATTTTTCCAAAGCAAACTCATCTGCACCTCAGTGCTCTGTACCTGCACACAGAAGACAGCAGGGTGAGGAGGTGATTGAGTCAATGTGTAATGTCCTGATCTACTTAAGTTGCAATGTTTGCACTGGCCTTATTGGTCTAGGGGATAATTGGCCGTTTTTGACTTTTCATTTTACCTTTAAATTTCACCTTAAAAAACTGTTTACCTTGCCTTGTTTGGTATCATTCTTTCCAGCACAACCTCACCTGTGTGACTTTACAGTTATTTTTTCATTTTGACATACTGTATTAACACACTGGACCTAAATTCACTCAAAAACATAAAATCCGATTAGGAAAAAGTTTGATTTTTTACTGTGAAAACCACAAACATGTCTAACGAACCATTTTTGTAACTTAGAATAGAAATATAAATTGTAAACTTCAAAAACATATGTCCTAATTTAGCAAACAACAACTTTATATATAACTATTTACATTAAAATGCAAGCAATGCCTTTTTTATTTACAAAACAATCAGATGCCACACAAATTATTTGTGCCACTCTGAAAAACAGTTCCTGTCCACCACAACACACTACAGGAGGAGGACACAACAGGTGGACAACACCTCCTATTGTCCACCTGGAGCAGCGGAGATCCGGACCTGGTGGGCGTGCCCTGCCACACCGTCCGCTCCTCTGTGCGGATCTCCGAGTACTGCTCAGTGCGGTCGTCGGAGGCTCATTTTCCTCTCTCCTCTTCCAAAACACACTACACCACACACTAACTATACACTCCAAACATGCTAAATGTCACAAATCCCAACTCTATCTATGATCGCAATCGCTGTCTCTCTCGTTGCCGTCACTCCCACAACTTTCCCCTCTCCCCCAGCAACAAATGATGTGTGTTGCCATACAATTTTGTGATTGGTTGAAGTGGTGCATTTTCCAACCAATAGGAAAGGGGGTGTCGTTTTTGTTTTGTTTTTTTTTGCTGTTGTTGCTGCCTTCAGCACTTTCGTCAGGCCGAATGGCCCGTTTTTACTGTTTCTTCCTGCACCAAACATGGATCAAACGTGACAACAATATTCAGGAATATCATGGCGTTTATTATTTATCATAAATCCGGTTTTATATGGCCTATCAAGACGATTTAAAAAGTGGTACAAGGTTTGAAGTTTGCACTTTCCACACAAAATGAAACGGGGACTCAGCGAGGCCGTCCCTGCGTTCCAAATCGCATACTTCTACTATATACTTTTAGTATGTACTGCAGCTGCCCTTAAAAAGTATGTAGTGTAGTATGCAGTATGCATGCAGTATGCATACTATTGGGACACACTACATCCGCCATCACATCGCTCCCTGAACTCCGACCCTCTTGCTCACTTCCGCACCACATTTGAATATTTTGTTTTGTTGTACTTCGGAGATGCAGCAAATCTCCTCTCGTCGAGCTCGCCAGAGTCGTGCATACCGTCGGAGGTGCCGGAGAGCTCTGTTGCTGTTATGTCGTAATGTATGTTGTTGTTTCTAATAAACTGATGTGATCACGTAAACAGTCCCAAGCCTATTATTAGTGACCTGTCTATTGAACTAGTCACCAGTAGGCATATTAACCCCCTTCACACATAGCTCTCTGTTGCTGGCAGATGTTTATTGTTAAATATATTTACAGCTTTGCAGCTGCTGTCACTATATTCTGTCTGCACGTGAAGCAGCCTTACATTCACACGTGATTTTGACGCGCCGGTGCGGCTGTGGACTGCAGGTTGGTGGTTGGTTGCTGTCAGGAGACCAATTATCTTGGCAGCAGGGTTGGTTATGCGTGTGAGTTTGGTGCTATCAGTAATAAATAACATTAAAAGAAGCAGGTGAATCAGTACAAATGGATGGGCTAAATCATGCTCTGATACAACAACAGGAGGCAACACAGAGTCCTTTTGAATGACTGATAGTCTGTAGTGGCTCCTTTTTATGTCTCTGCACTAGCAATAACAATAGCGATTCAGGGAATTTCTTCAAATTTGGCAAAATGTCCACTGGGACTCAGCAATGAACTCATTAGATTTTGATGGTCAAAGGTAAAAGGTCAAGGTCACTATGACCTCACAAAACATGGTTTTGGCCATAACTTAAGAATTGTTACGCTTTTAATGACAACATTTCACACAAATGTCTAATAGGATAAAATAGGACATCATAATGTTCTGCAAAAAACACTTTCTGGCCATAACTCAACATCATATGTCTGGAACAACAGGGGAGACAATTGGTCAGATACTGAATTGGAACAAAAGGGAACTAAACTGCTAAAGTACACATTATTCTTCTGGCATTTTTTTTTTCAACACTAAAAACTGTAACTTAAATTTAACTCCAATTGTGTTAATTAAAGTAATTAAATCTCTTGCTTCAGCAAAAGTAAGTGGAGTAATGTGGACTATGTAAATGATCGTCAATAAAGCCAGCTCTTGACAGTAACAACTGATGAGATTTTTGTGATGAGATGAGATGTCATCATTCAATCGTTGGCTGTCCGATGTGGGCTTCATAGATAATTGGCAAACTTTCTGGGAAAAATCTGGTCCGATTAGGGGAGAGATCATTCATCCCACTTTGGATGGAGCTGCTCTCATCTCCAGAAACCTGGCCAAGTTTATTACTAATTCAAAACCCTGACAACCCAGAGTTGAGACCAGGAATCAGAGTCACAGTCTTAAATGCTTCTCTGAGCTTCTAGTGCATAGTGTTATACAAATGGCGTCTGTCCCCCGACCACCTAAATTATTTAAAACAAAGTTAAACAAAGAGGAGTTGAATATAAAAACCTAATAAAAATTAAAACCTCTTCTGTGAAAGAAAGACAAATCAGGAGAATTAAATGTGGACTGTTAAATATCAGGTCTCTATCATCTAAAGCAGTGTTAGGAAACAAATTAATATCAGACAATCTTATTGATTTATTCTGCCTCACTGAAACCTGGCTGTGTCACGATGAATATACAGTATTATGTTAGTCTGAATGAATCCAGTCCTCCAAGTCAAAATAATAAAATCTTCCTTGAGGCAGCCGCCACGGAGGGGGAGTTGCAGCCATTTTTGACTGTACTCTATAAATCAGCCCTAAACCTAAACTTAAAGTGGAAATGAAACGTGCATGTTTTGGCACTGGTAGTGCGAAAATATATTTAAAAAACACCTTGCCTAAAATTTGATTTTAAAAAGTTGTTAAAACCACAGATATGAGAAATTGATTTTCGTAATTTCTACCTAGCTATCTAGCTAGTGCACTGTCTACGTAACGGGGTTGGTTGGTTCTGTTTGCCAGGGAAGACAGTGAAGCGTTTCTGAACTGGCTTGAGCGCCACACTTTCTGAAAATGGAAGAAGATGAACTGGAAAGGCCTGTTGAGTCTGTGACAAGTCCTTGCATACACATATGAGTCAATAAGGCGTGGGAACCGAGCAGTGGTACGGGTGGAAGAAGTCATGGAGCCGGTGATTTGGGGTCAAGGGCGTGTCGGC